AGAGCCCTGGGGAACACCGCTCGTGACCGGTTGCCAACTGGGCTTAACTCCATTCACCACAACTTTTTGGTTTCTTGTAGATCTTGTAGGATCTTTAAACTAATGAGTATCTTGAATAAAGATTTCTTAAGTAGAATGTCTCTGAAAAATTCTATCGTGTATTAATTCAGTTCCATGGAATCCTAAATAAATTCTGCGAAGGCACAGGAGTATTGTACCTGTAATACTACAGGTTGTCTTTAAGGCAGATGGGGAGAGGGCTTGCTTTAGTATCAGATGGTTTGGAGTTTTTATTTATCTACTAAAAGCTTCTCCCTTTGTTTATTACAGAATGTTGCAGACCACATTCCTCAGTTGGTGCAGGGTGTAAGAGGAAGTCAAGCGCAGGCAGAAGACCTCAGTGCCCAGCTTGCTCTAATAAATTCCAGCCAGAACTTCCTTCAGGTGAAGTAAATTAAGTGCTGCAGTAGATTCTGTCAGAGCAAAAAACATTTTTTAGTGCTGTATGTTTTTATTTGTGATAAATAAGCAGTAAGCTGTTAAGAACCATGTAAAGAAGTTCATCACTGACAATGAGCCATAGCTAAGGAGAGTTTAGTTCCTCAGGTCAGATGGCTGAAGTATGTTGAATCTGTGGAGAGTGAAAACTGCCAAAATGGATGAGGATAAAAGTAACAAGAAAACTGAAGTGTATGGAGAAGAAACATTCATTGCTGTGGTACTTGCCTTCTGGAAAAGAGTTTAAAGAACAAGATGGAGAGAATTCAGCCTCTTTCTAAGCAGAGGTCTGAATATGTGAGCTGCTGTTGTCATCTTTCTTAGTGAAAGTAAAGTTAGTGTTGCACCAACAAGCTCAGGATTCTTCACAAATAAAAGGGAATATTACCATGTTTTTTTAGATACTAGCCTGCATATGTAATGGATCTTGATTGAAGTTTTAAACAAAACACAAAATTTGACTCTGTGCTTCTTCCAAAATATCTTTAAAAAAAAAAAATATTAAATATTGAGCGTTGATAACAAAACTATTGAGTTTACTGTTGACGTTACAAGAAACAAACAGAAGAAACCAATTCTCCATGTAATGACATGATCATTACTTGGCACCAGTTAGTCCTGCCTTAAACGTGGAATGGAAATAAACCCTTTCGTTGGTTGCTGTTAGTAGATTCTTTATGGTCCCATGTAGACAGAGGTATCGCAAACAATGCTCTCTGAGCATTTTGCTATATGGTTCCCTTTGGAGTCATTAAAATGATCCATCTCCCTTCTGGCTGTATGTGTGCACTATGGTGATGGTGAGAATCAGCAAAGTATTTTAATGGTATCAGCAGCGAACCCTGTGAAGAGTCATTGCTTGAATTACAGTTTTCAATTTATAGAATTTTGGCAGAGTTTAATATTTAGAAACATTGAGACAAATTTGCCATCTATGCCACCTGGACTTGTTCGTACTACATGGATGCTGAATGGCAAAAGTGCACGTTTAAATATTTTTAAGTGGTCTACATGAGTACTCAAAGGCCTCAGGCAGACATTGATACTAATGAAGTAGTCATCGTACTAGTAAAGCACTTACGAGTCCTGCTGCAGAGGACACTGCAATGTGGAATTATGACAGGGTGCAGCATATGACTAAAAGGCTGGGACCTCGATGGTGCATGGTTAAGGAGCAGGGAAGTGCATGAAATGGTCATTACAGAAGATCTAGAAACCTCATGAGTGTGTGAATGAAGGAAGCTGTTTGTTTGTTGAACCCTAAGCCTTCTTTAAAGAAAATGAGCTAGTAAAACCAATTGTGTTCACTGTTCTTTAAACAGCCTGGAAGTAAAATGGTGGCATCTGCTAAAGCTGCAGTCCCCACTGTGACTGATCAAGCAGCAGCAATGCAGCTAAGTCAGTGTGCGAAGAATCTTGCTACCAGCTTAGCTGAGCTACGAACCGCCTCCCAGAAGGTGGGTAAATGCTAGTTTTAATCAGCTAAAGCAAGGTGGCTTGGATGGTGGTCACAGGCTCGCTCCCACTGTGTCTCCCCCAAGGGAATGGCTCGTGCTCAGGCAGTGTTCACTTCTCAGTGCTGCTTTTTGTGCAGTTTGCTCAGACTCCCAGGTGGCTTCTGTGTCATAATAGAAAGGGGAGGGAGACGTGGCAAGAAAACTGAAAAGGTTGTGCTACCCATACCCAGAAAGACAGGAGGAGGGTATATGTGGAGCAGCACATCAAAGCTCTGAGCTGCTGTTACATCTGAAGGATGACTTTAGTCACGATGCATAGTTAGGCTATGTGTCACAGGTGAAGTTCAGACTGCAGCATTTATTTTCTCAGTACCTGGACTGCCTAGTGTGAAGGTATGGGTACACAAGCTACGTGCATCTCACTCCCCTGGTGGCTCTTAACAGTGTGTTATTCTATTCACAAGCTAAGAATATTGTGCAGGAGTTTGGAATCCATGATGTGTAACACTTAAAGTGCCCACAATGGCCTCTAAAGTCATGAGAGCAATAATTTGGGAGGGGGAGATTGTATCTGAAGCCTTTACTATTTCTGATAGTGGCTTATGGCTGCTAATAGTGATACTGGTCTGATTTCTGAATAGGCTCATGAAGCATGTGGTCCAATGGAAATCGACTCTGCTTTGAATACAGTCCAGACACTCAAAAATGAACTGCAAGATGCGAAGATGGCAGCTGTGGATGGACAGTTAAAACCTCTCCCAGGAGAAACTGTAATTGAGGAAGGATGTTCTTCATTTAAAAACAAACAAACAAAGTTAGCTGTTAAAAATTTTAAGTATTAGAGGCAAAACAAGTCATTAGGCTTTGGATAATGATGACACTGATAGGATTTTGCACTAATTCTCTTGACAAGAGTATGTATTCCTACTACACCAGAAGCACGTTCTGTAGCAGAATTACTCTTAGGACTGTAGGGCCTCCTTCTTTCCTGTACAAATTACAGTTTAGTAGCAGCAGTGTTTCAGTCTTTTCTTGTCAAAAAGAATTTCTTTTCAATAGTGACAAAGATGAGAACTCAATAATTCTAAGACTACCAGTCCTGGTAGGCTTAGAAAGTGAAATGTTTTATTTGGCAACACCCGCCCCTTCTCCTCCGATGAAGGTATTGATTTCCATTGCTGATTATAAAATAGTTTTGTTGCTCATATTGTCTAATATGTTAATTTATTTCACCTGGGACAGGGAAAACATGCTAATCAGGTTTCAGAGAAACTATGTGTGTGTTCAGTAGCTGAGGTAGAAGCTTGGGTTTTGTGGAACAAGGAATTTTTTAATACTGTTTAAAAAACAAGCGTGTTTTAGTTGAGCTTAAACGAAGAATTTTGTCCTTTGCAATTTTTCACAGCTTGAGAAATGTGCTCAGGACCTGGGAAGTACATCCAAAGCGGTCGGTTCATCAATGGCCCAGTTGTTAACTTGTGCTGCTCAAGGCAACGAGCACTACACAGGTAGTGTTTTATTCATAGAGTCTCTGTGAAACCTCTGCTTTCCATAAAATACTTGATAGGATTTTTTGTTATGACAGACTACTTAAATCAAGGAATTGCTCACTTCTCTTTTTTTTTTTTTTTCCTTGATGCTGATAGTGAATTTTGTGGCAATTTAGGAATCACCAGTGTAAATAATGTGCTTCATAAAAGAATAGAGTTACAATCTGCTGTGTGCCTGTATATAATCAGGATAGATTGAGACATCTGTTGTTTTTGTAAATATATGCCGCAAACTCTGTGAAGGACAGAACTAAAATGTAATGCAATTTAAAGGTCAGTGCCACTGGAAATGTTGCCATGTCCTTTCAGAAGGTTAAAAGGGTCTCTGGATATCTTTTGAAGCACAGGATGCAAACGTACTTGGGATAGCTTGGTGACGTTTAAAACTGCATCTCTTACTAGATGTTACCAGTTTACATGTATAATGCAGCTAGTCTCTCTGACTCATTGATCACATTTGCATAGTTTGAGTTAAAGCTCAGTGTGGGCACACAGATTCTGCAATTTGTTTTTGTACCTGTACTTTTAGAAACCAGAAACACCTTAATAAGGAAAATGCTCCTTGCAGGGGGGAAAAAAGAATTACTCTTAGATGGTAAAATGTTCTGTCTCCTTATTTCCGTAAGAAGTGAAAGCTGTTGACGCAAATGCTACTGTAGGATTTTTTTTTTTAAATATGACTGATAAAATGCATTATGGCAATTACCACTTCATTGGATATACTTGCATCAGGGCTGCATAACTTACAATTGCTTTCATTTGAAGCAGATGTAATTGCATTAAGGGGGCTCATGTTTCTATCACAGTTATGCAGAAGTTAGAACTGGGTATCTGGCAAAGGAATACAGATACTTGCAGCTGATATCAAGTAAGTGAATAATTGAATCTAGTAGCTCTCTTAACATCAGGCTATAAGAGCTGTTTGGTTGGGAAATCCTACAAAGCAATGAGTTCCTTTCTATCTCGTACTGTCGTCTTATGCAAAAACTGTTGTGTACTCAAGCAAGGACCAAATGTTTGCAGGTGTTATGACATTCTGCTGTTTCTCTGTGATAAAAATTCTTTACACCTTATATTCACTATTTAATAGTTCCCTCTTGTCTGCAACTGCAAATTTCTTTTTACTTTGTACTGAAGTGTACTGAAGTCATTGTAGAGGATGAAAGCAGCACCAGATTGAAAGCAAAACAATCAGGCCTTTTTATTTTGTGGTGCTGTGATAAATTAAGTCAAACTTAAAAGATGCTTAAGGGTACTGTAAATAAAGGGAACAAAAAGTGTGGGTATTTTTCCTGAAATTTTCTTTAAATTAAGAACATAGAAAGCTCTCTGTGGTTTGTCAAATAGAAAGGTTGTAACTGCAACGTAGGCAGTATTGTTTCTCTGCCTAGCTTGGCTTTACTTTGACATATAATATCACTTGCTTTTCATTATCTTCTTAAGTTTCTGCATTTAAAAATGCTCAGTTGATTGGAAGAGAAAAATGTTAAAAGGCACTGGTGTTAAAATGCTAACATGGCTACTTTGTGGGTTGTATTTTGTTGTGATGTCCCAGCTTTCTAAACATTTCCAACAGGGATATTAAACATTCTAATTATTTTTAATGCTTAAATAGCGATAACCAAGAGGTCTTGTACAGCAAATGTGAACCTTTTCTATAGTTTTCTTTTGGTAGGAATAGCATGATTTTAACGTTATCACTCAAAATATACCACCTACAGTAATTGCATGTGTTGCTGACTAGACTATGTGCTAATTAAGGTCTTTTAGAAGACTATTTTATATTTGTTTTCATTAAGGGCTGAATTAAATTTCAAAAATAGAAGAATGGGACCATTATTCATACAGTTGTACGTCTTAGCGCTAGAGTTGATGAATGTCCTATAATGTTGGTCAGACAGACCACAGAAACTAATTTCATTATGTCCTCTCTGGGACTTCATTCAGTTATTTTTATATGTTTGTACTCACAGTGATGTTAGGTTATAGCAAGTTGTATCATCTCTAATGATCTCTCTTAATTTTTTTAAATTTCTTGAACTTAAGCTATTGCTGTGTTTATTCTCTAAAAAAATCCAAAGCCGCATTTTCAGAAGCGGCAGAGGTGCTGTGGCTCTGAAGTCGTGTACACTGTTCTTGCAGACAATCACTTTTCCCCACAGCTTGGAGTATGAGTTTTTCCTCATTTCCAGGTTTTAGATTTTCTTGTTTTTCAGTGCTTCACTCAGATTTAGTCACTGATGTAGAGCCGTGCCCAGAATGTGGTCTTTGGGATATGATAGTTACTTTATGGCTTCACTTCAGACATTTCTCTAGGCAAATGATGCTGTATATTTTAAATGTGTTCGTGTTTGAAGACTTTCTTTTGAACTGCATTTGTAATGTTATTTTGCAATGGGATCATTACCTGCAAATTCATCTGTCATAAAATACAAAGATCATCTTAAAGGGTACTAACAGAATCCTTGATCAAATCTGAACACAGGAGTTGCTGCCAGAGAAACTGCTCAGGCTTTGAAGACTTTGGCTCAGGCGGCACGAGGGGTTGCAGCATCTACTACTGACCCTGTGGCAGCACATGCAATGTTGGATTCAGCAAGGGATGTCATGGAAGGCTCTGCTATGCTTATTCAGGAGGCGAAGCAGGCCCTGGCTGCACCAGGGGATGCAGACAGTCAGCAGAGATTAGCCCAGGTAAGTTGCAACTTGAGCAGCTACATGAATTATCAAACACCCAGTGAAACACAGGATTAAATAATGAGAGAGAACAACAGAAAATAAGGCTGCAAGGAATGTCCGCTTTCTCGTCCTTCCAGCAACTCTTGGATAGTAACATCACACTTAGGTTAAACAATGCAGATGGTGCAAAGTGTGGTATTTTAGTAATCTTTTAGAAAAATAAACTTAAACAAAGATGCAGTTAAGTGCTTTTACCCACAACATATTTGGGTAGGCTGCTTGACTGCAAAAATGAAACAACTGTTAAACTGATCATTATCAAGTGAAGGCTCTGTATTCATGTTAAATTAAAAAAAATGAATGCACGTTTTCCACACATGTGGCACCACTGCTTTTGATGACTCTAAGAAGTAACAGATTCTTTTTTACTGGTTTGAAAAGTTCTATAATTGGCCTATATTTTAAATAATTTCTTATGAGGAGACATTTGTTTTAATCAGGACTTTGTCTGAAAAAAGTAGCATGCAAAGGATTTCTGTGATTAATATATGGTTAATCATAGAATCATCTAGGTTGGAAAAGACCTTTAAGATCATCCAGTCCAACCATTAACCTACACTACCAAGCCCACTCTAGACTAATCAAGGGTAGACCAGACTAAACCATATCCCGAAGTGCCACATCTACCCGTTTTTTAAACGCCTCCAGGGATGGTGACTCCACCACCTCTCTGGGCAGCCTGTTCCAATGCCTGACCACCCTTTCCGTAAAGAAATTTTTCCTAATTTCCAGTCTAAACCTCCCCTGGCGCAGCTTAAGCCCATTTCCTCTCGTCCTATCGCTAGCTACTTGGGAGAAGAGACCAACACCCACCTCACTACAACCTCCTTTCAGGTAGTTGTAGAGAGCGATAAGGTCTCCCCTCAGCCTCCTCTTTTCCAGGCTAAACAACCCCAGTTCCCTCAGCCGCTCCTCATAAGACTTGTTCTCCAGACCCTTCACCAGCTTCGTTGCCCTTCTCTGAACACGCTCCAGCACCTCAATGTCTTTCTTGTAGTGAGGGGCCCAAAACTGGACACAGTATTCCAGGTGCGGCCTCACCAGCGCCGAGTACAGGGGGACAATCACCTCCCTGCTCCTGCTGGCCACAGCATTCCTGATACAAGCCAGGATGCTGTTGGCCTTCTTGGCCACCTGGGCACTCTGCAGTGCTGCAGCCTTTATCCCAGGTGCCAGGAGCAGTTGTGGATCTGCCCTGCCAACACTATCCTATCAAATGGGTGAGCATAAATAATGACTACTGCTACACTACAGGTGAGCAAACCAAGAAAGTCACAAGCCTCAAAAATAGTCTTGTTAGAGTTGGAATGTAGGAATTGCTGGCTGTAGAATGTGCCTCCTATTAGATAAATGACCACTTAAGCCTTTCTCAGTGTTTACTGGAGGTATTTACTTCTGTGTTGTAGGTGGCAAAAGCAGTGTCTCACTCTTTGAATAACTGCGTGAATTGTCTGCCTGGACAAAAGGATGTGGATGTGGCCTTGAAGAGTATTGGGGAATCTAGCAAGAAGCTCCTTGTTGATTCGGTGAGATGTCTTTTAACGTAGAAATAAATTTCAGAGAACTGAAAAGCAGATCTAGGTTCCCCATGTGTCAAATTATTATGTAGTAAATATGCCCTAGGTATACTTCATATAAGTTTTGTTTAAGTTTATGCAGCTTTCAAGTAGCTGTTACTTCTGCTGAAATGCTGTTCTTCTCATTTATGGGAAAGGTAAAATGTGTCTGTGGCTTATAAAGGCAGTATTAAAGTTGTTTTCATAGATCACCATTAGTTTGGTTTTTAGAAAATGCCAACTGTGACTTAATATTGTGAAGAATATGAAGATTTGAAAATTATAATCGATCTTCCCCCTAGAAGTGATCAGTTCAGTTTAAGGAGCATTGTGGTCGGTCAAAAAATGTTTAGTGCCTCTATGGTCATTTTGTGCAAGGAGAATAATTGTTATATTTCTGTTTAACTGCATCCATGTCAAAAACAACCCTTTGTGAATTAGTAATTTGCCAGAAGGTTATATGATTTGAATAACTTTTTTGCACATACCAGTGATCCTGCTACCTGTGAATGAAGGAGGAATTGTACTTGGATATGTTTGTGCAATGCCTTTTGGTAAAACCAGGTCAGGAGCTTAGAGTCATTGTGAAGAGCTGCCAATACTTGTGTGGTGTTCTGGAAAGCTTGTTTGTGGAAATGAATGATGACTTGGAGACCAAAATTCTCCAACTTTTGCCACTGAGTTCATCACTTCAAACTTTGTCGTTGAACCATAAAATGGCTGTCATCATCTCTGTCCCTTGAAAGGCTTACGTACTTGTCTGTCCCTTGAAAGAAATAGTGGGACTAAGGTCGTTGTATAGATTTCTAGTTGATAGCTGTCCCATAGTTGGACTATTCTGCATTCAGAACTGAATCACTAGCAGTCCAGTTGCTACTGCAATGGAGTACTTCCATTCTGGCTTGTATGTAAAGCTCATGACTGTATTGCATTTAGTCTTCTTGAATTATGTTGAGCTTCCCAGTTGTGAAGGGCTGGTGTGATGTGATAGGCAATAAAATAGGACACTTGGGTCTCTCACAGCTACCTCCAAGTTCTAAGTCATTTCAAGAAGCTCAGAGTGAACTGAACCAGGCAGCAGCAGACCTGAATCAGTCAGCAGGAGAAGTTGTCCATGCTACCCGGGGCCAAAGTGGGGAACTGGCTGCAGCCTCTGGAAAATTCAGCGATGATTTTGATGAATTTCTTGATGCTGGTATTGAAATGGCTGGCCAAGCACAAGTAAGTTGTTTTTTTTTTTTTATCTTGCTAATTGGGACCAAGGGTTATCTCGGGCATAGTATCTGGCAGTGCGGTATTTTGGTTATCTTCTAGCACAGTACCGTATGCTAGTGTGAGCGTATCCAAATATGACAGGTGATGTTTGTTATGAAGCAGTCATCTGTAACTGGTTAACTCGAGTGAAGTCAACTCAGCATTTGCTTTTTACGCAAGATACTGGTATTTGTTCCTGTGCCCAGTCAGAAATATGACTTCATACTACTCCTCTGTCTAGTTTGGGCTGTTAACTAGTTTGAGCTGTATATCTGAAGGTACAAAGGTGTTCTGAACCTCTCAAAGCTTATGGAAAGGGTTGCTTCTATTTTGGTAGGACTACCATGAAGCATAATTTATATGAACACTGTTCAAAATTTAGCATCTTTCCTTGCTAATTTTCAAATGCTTTAAGTAGAGGAAGGAAAAGATGCATTTAAAATCCAGACTTGATACTGCTCTATGGTGCGTGCTGGTGTGGACCTGCTACAGAGTGGAGCAAGCATTTGAAGAGGGCTGGCTAAAACGCCATCGATCTGACAGCAAGCACTTGGACTTCTGGTTAGTGATTTAAAATCTGGCAGAGTCCTATTCTGATGAATTCAGTAACAATCAGGAATGTTTTCACATACTATCTAGCTTATTCCTACTAGTCTAGGTACTCACTTGAAGTTGGAGGTATCGCCTTCATTTTATCTTACTGGATTGAGGTGTACTGAATTACACTAATTGGTCATTTGGAGGTGACTTAACAAATGTTCAGCATGTACCAGGAGAGCTAGGAGGACTTGCAGAAAAAAGCATCTGCAGACTGTTTTGCCCTAGTTAGTAGGAGGAACTTGCAAACCTAAGAAATGATTGCTGAAAGAAAACTAGCCAGCAAGTCTTGAGTGTGCCAGTCCTTTGAAGTCATTTGTGAAATATCTCTATAGTGCAGATGCTTTGTAGATAGAGATGAGTAGAGAGATTGGACAATGACTTAATCATTCAGGTTCCAGACCCATGAAGTGAGTTAGGCAGCAAATATCAGCTGATCCTCTGAGTAGGAGTTAGGTACCTGACTGTCTGTTTAGCCATGGGCCTCATTGACTTCTGGAATGTGTTGCTTGAGGCAATTCAATGAAGGCAAAGGTAGAAATGATACTGCAAATAGCTACTTGAAAAGAGAATTCCAGCTGCTGATGACCTTGTGGCCCTTGCTGATTTGCTTATCCTGCTGACATAGGGGATGATAGTCATCTTAGTTATTAATGGCTGATCCTTCAAAAGAGAATGCTTTCTGTCTGTGTCTAGTTATTTGGCCTGAACAGAAGCAATACCAGATATTTTGGATGCCTAGCAAAATAGGGGGGTAGGGAGGAAGCAGAATGTAAATACACAGTAAAAGCTATTCACATCAGTGAGTAATATGCAACCTCTTTACGTAAAACCCTGAACAGACTGTTAGAAAGAACTGATTCACTTCTACTGATCACTGACAGAAGAATCTAGTCACAGCTATTTGCTGTGATAATGGAGTACTTCCCTGTAATTGTATGTGTATGCAGGTTTTCTTTTTCAAGCAATGGCTTAAAATAAGCAATCAAATATCCAAGTCGGAATGTTTACCAATGTAGGCTTAATAGAAACGTATTTTCTTGGGATAGAGCACTTTCTGGAGGGATCTTTTTGTGTGAGTAATTCCAGTTAGATGCTAGAGAGCCTGTGGGTTACACAGAAGATGCTAGAATACAGTCAGTGTACACTGACTGAATAATGTGGATCAGCTGTGCCAGGCAGAGACACATGAGAGTCTTGACAACAAAAGCATTGTTCAACAAGTAGTAAAGTTTCTCCGTTGCTCATTTGTGAATACTGCCACTGTTAGAAACCAAGCTATCCGTTATATGGGTTTCTTTTTCTGTGATGTAAGTGAAGCTAGAGGCACCTGTCCGGGTGAACAGAGGCTTTGGTCCATGTCCTTCTCTGGACTATAGTCCCCTGCGTGTCAGTGGTTTCAGGTGGATAAACACACTGGGTTTCCAAATGTGGTTTTAGCACACTCTTTTTATTGCAAACTCTGCACTTAAATGTTATGCTGCTGTGGCTTTTCAGACTAAAGAGGACCAGATTCAAGTAATAGGTAACCTCAAGAGCATCTCTATGGCTTCCAGCAAGCTGTTACTAGCTGCCAAGTCTCTGTCTGTTGATCCTGGAGCTCCTAATGCCAAGAACCTCTTAGCAGCAGCAGCAAGGTAAGGATGTGTTGCTTGCTTTAGGTTTTACTAAGATATTTGCTTTTCTCTGTGATATTTAGAATGTGTTTATATATTCTTCTGCTATTGACAGTTAACTGAGAGGTTGGAACCTGCACTTCTATTTAAATGAAAGTAGGCCGGAGGAAAACTGCTTATTTTGGAGTAGTTCGTTAACTGACATAACTTGTTACCCTTGGTGGAAATAAGAACCAGCAGCTGAAGAGTTGGCCTGGTTTTTGAAAGGGACTAGTGTGTTTTACCTACTGGTTTGTTACCATCTGTGTTCTGACAAGGCAGTAGCTAACAGTAAGCCTCTCAATCCCTAACAAAGAAAAGAGATTGAATAATGTTCTTCTATAGAATGTTCTTTAAAAACATGTTGTGGCTACCTATCACTAATAGTGTGTATGTGTGTATGATCAAGAACACTTGAAAGGATTAGATGCTATTCTTATTTGGTGGAAGATACCCTTACTTTAAGGATTCTGTCAACCATGCCCTGAATTTCATCTTGTGGACCCTGTTTCACAGTCAAGGGGCTCAGTGGTTGTGTGAAAAATAACACCGCATTTCGCTGTTTGACTGGATAATCGCCTCTCCTTCACTTTGTTGAATCCTTTCCACAGTTTTTTTTTTCCAAATTAACTTTTTATTCAATTATCTGAGTTTATAAATGGAATGCTCAAATATCAAACTGCAAGGGGACTGCTGAAGGACAAATAGACATCACGCCTAGAAATGTCAACGTTAAATCAGATGAATGTCTGAGACTGTGTGGATGTGTCTTATAATACTGTCTTCCAAAATGTTTACACTCAGAATGATTAGCCCAGAGAGGAAGTGAGTAAGTTAAGACTGTTACTTCCTTGGGGAAAATGTGGTTGATGTTTGTCCTGGACCTTAGAATCATCCTTTGCTAATACCAATAACTTTATGTTTAAAAAATAAATCCACTCCTTTAATAAAGGATGACTTAAAGAAGTTATGCTACTTTACTTTGTCATACTTGTTAAAAACAAAACAAAAAAACAATTCTGACATCCATCTTGTCTCCCTGAAAATAGCTTCCAGGAAAACTGTAGGTAATCAAAGGCACACTGCTTAAAAGTTAATTTGTTGCATGAGCTTTTGTTACTGCTGCAGCATCACACTGCTACAGATTTCTGCTTTAGGCTTGGAGCATTCCTGTTTGGAGTGTAGAGGAAGGTAGTGTCCCCAGTGAAGCCCAGTTAGTTGTTAGTTTCTGCCAGGCTGGTATTCCCTCTGTAGAAGCATGTAATAAAAAAAGGGAGACGAGCCATGCAGAGCCTTTAGATGTTCTATTTTGCCATGCTGAGTGTGTGTATGTGTGTCTGCATGCATAAGGTTTTACATAGACATCAGATAACAATGAAAAGTAAATACTGTATCAGTTCTCAGTTTCTGTTTAAGATGCTAAGGAGACACCATATTTCCCTTCTCAAATCCTCCGTGGCTGCTTGTGACAAGCTTGCCAAGGCTCTGTTCTCTTTCCCTGCTATGATATGATCAGGGTCAAGTATTTTTACTCTCTCTCTTCTCATGAAAATGAAAAAAGAGGCACAGCTTCCTTTGCTTCCTGTTTATAAGATGGTTTATCTTCTCATTTTTCTCTCATCTTCTGAGATTAATCTTCTTGTATTTTCTTTCCTTTCTTCCCCCTTTGTTCCCAGCTATAATAGACACTCCAGCTTTTTCAGTAGCTCTGGCCTTCTTGTGGAGGCATTTTTCTTGACTTCCTCTGACAGTCTTATAGGACTGCAACAGTGACTGAGTTCCCTGCAGGGTGCAAGTATTTATATGCTGTATTTGTGAAAACAAATGTGGGTTTTAGAGTCCTAGCAGTCCTCTTCTACTCTGGGGTTGGTGTTTGAGGGACCACCTTCCTGGTTCTACTGCTTCCAAATAGTTTTAAAAGTAATGTTTGTACATTGGGTGTAACTCCTGCATACAGGTACCTGGTGTGTGGTAATGATATTCATGAGACCACACTGCATCCTCTACAAAGCTGGCAATTCTAGTCTGTTATCAAGTGTGGGGTTTTTTCTTTAATCACTGATATTCTCTGAGTCAACATGCATTGTCTCTCTTAGATTAAAATCAACAGCGGACAAGATATTTTTGCATGAAGTTTCTCTGGGAGTGAACAGAACCTTCCATTTTTGCCATCTATTCATATGTCTGTATGCAATGACATTTTTTCAGATGCATGGAAATCACTGATGTTCGGGAGGCTGAGAACCCATCATTTGTATTGGTGTTACGTTGGTGAAGGCATGCATGTTGTTTTTCATAGATAATAATTGCAAAAATATTTGTATATATACACATACATTTACTCGGAGAATATCACTGATTAGTTAAAGAAAAAAACCTAACTTGATAACTATATAAATATATAGCAGGACTACATGTGTATAATACAGTATGCCAGACAGGACACAAGACATGTATATGTAACAGTCCTAAAAGGCAGAGGAAGTCAGGAAGAATGGCTCCACAAGGACACCAAAGCTACTGAAAAAGGTAGGAGTCTCAGTTAAACAAATATGTCTGTTAGTTTCCATTCTTTTTGCCCAGGAATTAAACATAAAATCTGGTGTATACGTAATAAGCACATCCTTTTTCCTTTTGTAACAGTATGATACCATCCGTCTAGGTAATCATGGTATTGATGTTACCAATCACATTATCAAGTGCCAGTTTTCTTAAAGAGAAAATAATCCAAATGCCATGCAGAGCTTTCAAGGCCAGAGGAAAGCATATTCTCCATGCACTCTGATTTCACTCATTTTCTAATTTGTCATGAGAAACAACACAGAAAACTTGCATTCCACTATAATGTCACAATACAAGCTAAGTTTTTGCAAACTGGGGACAACATGCCTAGTTATAGAAAATGATCTTAGATAAATAACAATGAATAGCAGAGTTCTACTTCCTCCTACAAAGCCTCTTCTTCTAGAAGCTACTTTCCTGGGTGGTTAGCCATTAGTCTAAAATGAATGTAGTTATAATTAATTTTGCTTAATATCAGAGCATTCATCGGAAACATAAATAGTGACTATATAGTATGTCAGATTCAGCCTGTGTTCAAGAGCACCAGAACTGTAAACTCCCATAGAAACATAATGCAAAAATATCTTGTTCTCTGTGGATTTAAACCTAAGGGAGCTGATGCCTGTTGACTCAGAGAGTATCAATGATTAGTTAAAGAGGAAAAAAAACCAACTTGATAACAGGCTACGGAAATATATAGCAGGATTATATGTGTGTGTGTGTGTGCAATACAGTATGTCAGACAAGACACAAGACTTTGCTAGCAAAGGGTATACAAGTATAACTTGTATAAAGTATAACTTTACATTCAAACATTTTTTGAAATACTGGCCACTTGTTTCTGTGTCTTTTAAGATTTCTGGGGTGCTAGTTGAGAAATGATTCAGTTAATATGAGACACGGAGAAGTACTAAAATACCGTTTGGCAGCAAAGTTATGTCACTGTGCTAGTGTAGAGGGTTGACCTTGGCCTGCTGTCAGATGTTTTGCCCTTTCTTACCTGTGTTTTCCCAGAGGTGCCACCAGCTTGGCTGCTGGGCTCAGTTGTGTCCTGCGGTGGGTCTGTTGGAGCTTCTATGGAACCAGCTGTGCCTGGCATGGGGCAGCCCCTGGCCTCTTCTTACAGAGGCCACCCGTGCAGCCAAAACCTTGCCACAGACACGCAATACACTTGTTGCTGTGAGATGAAGCTTCTGTTTCTTCTAGACTAACTTCTTAATTGTTCACACTGAAGGGATAGATTTTCAGGTGTGGATCACTATCAAAGGCTTTAGTGAGAATGTTTTTGCTTCTGTGAAGCTTGTTAACAAAGAGGTCTCTAGGTAAACTGTTTAACATACAATTAATCCCCAAACACTGAAAAGAAAAGAAAATTTAGTAGAACATAAGAGTTTTAAATCTTTACACAGTGTACAGTTAATGAAACAAATTTTTTAGTAAGAGGAATAGTTTAACTTTAAAATACACCTTTTTCTTTTTCTTTCTCTCCCTAGAGCTGTGACTGAGAGTATAAACCAGCTCATCACACTGTGCACCCAGCAAGCTCCCGGGCAGAAGGAATGTGATAACGCACTCAGAGAACTGGAGGTATTACTACATTTAAAAAGTTCTTATGAATAAAAATGGGCCCAAAATGTTTGTTTCCTTTGTTTTCTTTGTCCGATTAGCTGCTGTCACTGTCTTCTCACTTGATATCTGTGGCATATCAAATAAACTAATTGCATACAAGGTAAGCATAGAACCTCTGTGAACATCTTGTAGTTTTGGCCAGAATGAAATATGCTGCCCTGTCCCCACCTCCTCTTCCCTGCCCCTCAAAAGGTACAGTTTAGTCCTTACTATTCATACTTACTGTGAATTAAGGAAGAATCGTGGCAAGATGGACATTCCCACTACCAGCAGTGCACTGGAGGGAGCTGCAGTATCTTGATTTTTTTGCTTATAGAATGTTGTTACTGACATCCCACTTCGGGATGACACCATCTTTTACCTTGTCGCTCCCTGCCATTTCTTACTGTAGATTTTTGATGCCTTGTGCCCACTTTGTCACAGCCAAGCTGATATGACATGTGTGTCAATACAGTTGTTTGCAAGGTATGTTCTGGTTCATGAGTGAAACGTTTGGCTGGCTAAATAGTGGGTAGTAGGTCAGTTGAAAGACGTAATTCTAAGGCTGTGCACTGATCACAGGGACAGCTGCTTATAATAATAGGAAATAGCATCTTTTTAATTAAACAAAATGCTTGTTTGCTGTCAAGGTCAGATCATTGAGGGATGACTGGCCTGTATAGAGAACATAAAACACCTTCAGGCTTTTATTTCTACCCCTTGGTATCAAAAGGATACAAATGTCACTGCAGTGCATTCCAGGATATTGTGAGATTTTGTAATATGCAAGTCCACAGTCATCATCCCAAAATATTGGTAGGACTTTGCCTAGTTGCTGCTTTGTACTTCTGAATTCTTAGCTTCTTGAGCTTAGAAGTGTTCATCCCTTTGTTAAAGGGAGTGGCAGCAAGTCCAAATAATAGAAAGAGAAAAATGGAAATTGGGCCGTAATGTAATGGCTGCCTGAAATCACTGCAGAATGTAGGGGTGGAGCAAGCAGGGGTAGTGAAACGCCATTTTTCAGGACTTCCTGAAAGACTGATGGGGAGAGATCTGCAAAACAGCATGGATGTGAAAGGTCAGAATTCCCAGCTAATGAGCCACAGAAAACTGAGTGCTTAGGGGGAAATGTGGGGCAGAACAACCTTAAGAAGCCATTGCAGAAGGTTCTGTGCCAATAGCATGGCTTGCATGGATTGCGAGCAGAGCCTGGGAGGGGCAGAAGGAAGATCTGTAGCATCTTGAACTTCAGGAAACACTTGCCTGAGAGGGACAGCTAGTGAGAAAAGCCTGCGTTTAGATTAATTTCTGAGAAAAGGGAAACTGAGGCAAAACTACACAGTCCTGAAACCTGACTGGAGACTGGTATCAAAGTGACCTGAGGAACCTATCAGATTGTGGGGAAAGCATTCTTAGTAGTCTTAACTTTCAGTTTCTCTTTACAATGATAAAGCTCTTACCTCTTCCCTTCATTTCCCCAATTCATTGCCTACTATTTCTAGTCTCCCCAAGGCTTCTTAAAAGTACTAAAAAGTATTGTTTCTGTAGAAAGTGTGTGTCTCAGCTTGGATTTGGTAGACTGTTAGTATGCTCCGTAGTTTTCCCTGGAGACTCTGGAAAAACTCTGTTTAGAGAGGTCCTTACTGTATGACCTCCAATGAGATAGCTAAACTTGCCCAGAATTTCAGCTGAAAGGATTAACAAAGGTGTTCTAGTAATAGCAAATATATGTCAGTGGGAAGTTGTGTTGGCTTGTGTTTTGCTGTTCTGTTTCCTCACGTTCTGAGGGCTTCTGTCTCCATAGTAGTGCAAGTACTGCAGGAACATTGTTTGCTTTGCAAGCTGTTATTTGAAGATGGAGCACAACAATGAAGAGTTGCTGCAATGTCTGTGACAACTGAGAAAGAGATGAGAGGCAACTGGAAACTCTTTTCTATATATGACTTCTTCCTCACATCACCTTGTTCTCACAGTTCAATTGCTGTAAGGCTTTAAGTTAGGCTATAGCTTTTAAAAAGCAATAGCTGAGCTGTTAAAAATATTGTAGGTATATCTTAATGTTCGGAGTTTAGTTATGAGAAAAGTCTAAGGGTTTAAAATCATGCCTAGATTTCCTTCAGGTGGAAGGCAAACTTCAGATACAGATGTTAGTATCTTTTTAGACTTACTGATTTCACTTTCATTGGAAAGATTAAAAGTCTTTTCTACCTGATATTTGGCAGAAAATACTGTTCCTCCAAACTTGGAAAAAGGTGTATTGTAGATTTTTTACACATAAGAGAATTAGTCTGCTGCATTTTACAGCTTTTTACAAGTTTTGTTGTCTAAATGCATTGATTCTTCTCAAAGAATATGTGACTGACTTTCATGTTGTTATTTCCAGGAATCAGAATCACCTCAGAGAAAGAAATCAAACCCAACTAGTATATGTAGCTTTCTGGCAGAGGGAGCTATGTTGGTGGAATCTGTGACAGCAGTAAGAGGCAGGCAGGTGGCTGACTTACATTTAGTTTGGTAGAGCTTTGTGTCTCTAGACAGTACTCAACAAATGGTAGCTGGTTTTCCTATCACTCTTGTAATTCCATTTATGAAATTTAAAATAGTACTGAAAACACGTATTAGACTGTCGACAACTGACAGAAAACCAGATTACCTCACGTCAGCCAAGCATTGCTAACTGACCATAAATCACTCATCACAAACACAAGGTAAACCACATTAGCCTATACTGCCAACAGATTCATAGTGTACAAATGTATAGTTACCGCAGTTCAGTTAAAGTAGGGTAGCATTTAATGCGTGGCATGCTCATCTGTATGCAAGTCCTCAGTGAGTGTGTAGTTTTGTTTGCTTGCTGGAGACAAAGTCGTAAGATTACGCTGGTATAAGCAGGATAGTTGTGACGGTCTGTGTTCTTCTCAGCTCAGTATTTCAAGCTGTGTCAATAATCAGAGTATCTTTCATTATTTCAGACAGTTAAGGGAATGCTGGATAACCCCAATGAACCTGTGAGCGATCTCTCGTATTTTGATTGTATTGAGGGCGTAATGGAAAACTCAAAGGTAATTTCCTTTTCCCACCTATGTGCCAGTTGTAAAGTGCATTTTGATTATCAGAAGTTTCCACATGCATATCAAACACGTTAGAAACACAGCACAGTGTTTATAGCTAAAATGTATGCTGCATTCCTTGATAAAACTCAGCACAAGATAGGTCTCTTACAGGTAATTTCAGGTTTTGGTCACTTAGAAGGTGTATTGCCTTGGTAAGAAATTTTTAACTAAGCGACTGGTATGCCATGCTGTTAAAGTTTCCCTCTGTCTCCCTTCCTCTCCTGTGTATTAAACAGCATGTCATACTTTCATGATATATTTTGACTGCAGCTATGTTAGAACGGCCCAGAGTGTCAATGGGAGGCTTGGCAATGAAATATCGTTGTATCATTCTGTGCAAAACAGCTTAAGAGAAATGTCTGAGCAGTCCAGATATTCCAGCACATCAGAAAATCTGTGTGAAATCTTATTTTTAAACATACCGTGCTATACATCTTTCTTTGAAGCTTTGCTTTTGGTGTCCCTATTATTTGATGTGTTGGAATTGTCTCAGATCCTTCCTTCTGTAAAAGAAAAAGGAAGTGCTTAGTGGATGTGCATGTCATCTTGCATCTAATGCTCTACTGCAGTCAGATCTTATTTTGAATTTAAAAGAAAATAAACTGAATTCAGTGGGAGACACTGTGGGAATTAATGTGTATTCTGACATTCAGATGGCCACATCCTTATGCCACACAGAGGAATGTGCCAAATTCAGTGAAGTTGTTAACTAGCTAAAATTTCTAGAAGCCATGTCAAAGAGGTTTGTGGGCCAGAACTGGCTCAAGACCAGGAATCACTTGCCTTTGAGTGGTAGGGAAGCATATTGGTAAGGTAACTTTGTTTTTTTAATTTCTGAGGTTCTTGGAGAATCAATGGCAGGCATTTCCCAGAATGCAAAAACTGGGGATCTTTTAGTCTTTGGAGAATGTGTTGGAGTTGCATCCAAGGCTCTTTGTGGCCTCACTGAGGCAGCGGCTCAGGTAAGCTACTAAAGACTGTAAAGCAAGTATATGTTTTATTTTTTCAGAAAGCTCATGTTGTATCTGTGTAAATCTGAGATTCACTTCCTTGTGGCCAGACAAATGATGGCTTTGTACTACATGGTGTACTCTGTGTAGATCCTCAGAAATTGTGCACACACTGCCATACATTGCAGAAGCAGCAGAGTGCAATAACATGCGTACTTTATAAGGAAGGGAAATGATATCAAGAGGGAAACTTTTCTGAGGATAAAGCAAATGTCAAAGCTGCAGCATACGGAATTCACGTTTGCAGCGCAAGCGCTGAACTATTAAATCATAGAGAAGTGCACAAAAACCAGCCACAGTTAAAATGCATGAATCAAGTTTGATTTAGTTTGTAAAAATTCTTAAGGAGCACTACTAATATCAGACATTTTAAATTATAAGCAACCTGTTTCAGCTGTTCAGATACTTTCAGAATAACCAAAATTCTTAAGCTACTACAACAAAATAGTGTCTGGAACTGGTCACTGTGGTTTTACTGATCTGATAACTGAGTGATTTGAACTCTTGAGAGCTGATACAGCCTCTTCAGTGAAGGATTTGGCTGTGGGGGATCATGCTTTGCATCTGGAAACCGCTTCTTGATTTCCTCAAGTATGAAATGTCTCAGTATGGACTTAATCTCCTCCACATCTAACCCCGCATTGCCTTACTGGCATATTGAGGTGACATAATTTTGTCTGTAATGGGAATTCATCAAGAACTCTTCAAATATGGTTTTGGCAGTTCAGACAATTCCTGCTTGTCGAGAGGCATGAAACTTATTTAATTGAGAAAGCAAGCAAGTTTGGCCATCAGACATCTTGAGCTGCAGCGAGACCAGCAACTGCAGACTTGATGGGTCCTACACTCAGCAGTAGTGCATTTGCTGTGAATTGGTTTTCTACTCAGGCTTGATGAAAACCCTTACCACCTCCAGCTGTGGCTAATCCAGTAAATAATTTGCTGATGTTTGTGACCATTAAAGCTCTTTCCATTGGCTATGCAAGTGAAAAGTAATGTTTCCAGGGATACCAGCTACTTAAACAGTGGAGAGTTTTGTTTTGACTAAATAAATTTCACAAGTGTAAGGGTAAGTTTTCTCAGTTTCAGAGGATTCTGGAGATTTATTACTAAAAAAAATGGTGATGGTACTTCACAGTATGATTTCTGGATAATCTCTGACCACCATGTGCTATGACATATAGTAAGCTTATAAAAGAACCAAGACAGATTTAGCATTGTTTCTTAGGATTGTTTTCTTCCTTTCTTCATTTCTAGGCTGCTTACCTGGTTGGCATCTCAGATCCAAACAGTCAGGCTGGTCAGCAAGGTCTTGTTGACCCAATTCAATTTGCCAGAGCCAATCAAGCAATCCAGATGGCTTGCCAGAATTTGGTAGATCCAGCAAGCAGCCCATCACAGGTGATTCTGGAGGATTGCAGTGAGACCATCATTGTTAGGACACATGACTTCGCTTTATTTGTGACCAAGCAAAGGAGTTTTGGTTTGAAACTGTTGCATGGCTTTGAAATGTGACTTTGCAGAGCTGAAGTATAGTAACTGTCATGCTCCTTTGACAATCTGCTTGTTTTGTGCCATCTATTTTTACAGGTATTATCAGCTGCCACAATTGTGGCCAAACATACTTCTGCTTTGTGCAATGCTTGTCGCATAGCTTCATCAAAGACCGCAAATCCCGTTGCCAAGAGACACTTTGTGCAGTCTGCCAAGGAAGTTGCAAACAGCACTGCTAACCTGGTTAAAACTATCAAGGTACAAATGCTGCTTAATTGTGCTCCCTTCTTCCTTTGTGTTTTTATTTCTGGTTTGGGTTTTTTTTTTCTGTTGAGACAGAATCAGACCAGTTAGAAATCTTTTTACCTTCTGTGATATGTATTATTTAAGAAATCATTAATTACATTTTTGAAGACCTGAATTGGAAAACATGTTCAGTGGTATAATTGTGCCATAGTCAAGATGGAAAGAATTGGGCTATATTAGCATTAGGAGAAGCAGCTGGCCCATCTGGTATAAGACACCTCTGTATTGATGTACTTAATGAGCATGCACCATGAGAATAATTAGCAAACAACTGAATGTGAAGGTTTCTAATGGTGTTACATTGCTCAATATCTGGAAGTTTGTGGAGGTATTTCTTATAGCTTTTACCATATTTACAAGAGAAAAATAAATAAACAAATAATACTGAGGACCAAACAGAAGCCGTTTATGTTGCTGCTGTTTAATAGTCTTGTGTTAACAGTAATCTTTTATTTTCCAGATACCTGCCTGCAGTTTGGCAGGAGGTAGCTTTTCCTCATGCAAGGAGAAATAATACTTGTTAAGCCATAGAGGGCTTGCAATTCTAAACCCTCCTGGAAGCCATTAGCTGGTCTGCTACTGAAAGTCTTTTAAAATAATTATGCTCTTAGGACTGGAAGGTTCTGTTATGTTACACAGAAGGTCCTTCATATTGAAATCTTTCCTATGAGATTATGAAAAAGATCAGTTGACTCATGTGAAAATGAGAGCAATAAATTACTGGTTTGCTTAAAAAAAAAAAAAAAAAAAAAAGTCTGTAGGAAAGAACCACCTTGTTAGCCCCTTCCACCCTTTAGAGCATGAGGTGCTGAGACACGGTTTATGAGAGTCATCAGAGTGCAATGATAGAAAACCTTTATTCAGTCTTGTGGAGCAAAGCAGCCATTTTAAGTTTAGGGTCAATAACCAGCTAAGTAAAGAAACACACACTTAAAGGATCACATTCTTTGCATCAGCCTTGTTTGTGGAGGAACTTTCACATATTATAAGCATGCAACAGTTTAAAACTATGAAGAATTAAACTATCTTCCTTCAATTTTGCAAAGAAACCTGTTCAGACAGAACTCAGTCATGACTTAATTTCCAGGCCCTGGATGGTGATTTCTCTGAAGAGAACCGCAACAAGTGCAGAATTGCTACTGCACCTTTGATAGAAGCTGTGGAAAATCTGACGGCATTTGCTTCAAATCCAGAATTTGTCAGCATACCAGCACAGATCAGCACTGAGGTAAGGCAGGATGTTGCACTTCCACCCTCAAAAAGTTGAAAATGTTGAATTAATCATGTGTTGGGAGAGAGGAAGTGAGTGTAAAGTCCTGACCCTGAAACGTCTTTCTGTGTTCCTGGATGTTCATAGGGAATTCTGCTGTCTTTGACCCTGAATTTTGCACCACTAGGATAAAACTAGTTAGGCTGCAGTAAGTGCTGCCAGTCTCCTGCTCATAAAGTGATACAGTACGGGTGACTTGCATGTCTTGTTAGCTGGATTCTTCCATGTGATAAAGTAATAAATATCCCTTTTTTCTCAAGAGCAGCCTTAACACATGGAACCTAATTAGTTCTGAAAAGGATTGAAGGGACATAGCTGGGGTTTTTCCCTTCCAAAAATGATGCAGTCATGATGACAAGCAGCAGGTTTTCTGGGAAGAATAACTTTCTGTGGGCCTTCTGTATTTTTTCCTGAGTTCTCTGTCCTCAACCCCTGTAACTACAACAGAATAGTATTTAAAGTAACTAATAAAGGGTTTTTTCAGGGGGAAAAAAAATAAAATAAATCTTTCAAGCTTCATAAAAGCTTTAAAGTAGAGGTCATGTATCGTTACTGACTCTCCAACTGCTTCTTCCTGCTTTTGACAGCCTCTATTCCAGCTATCAATATCAGATGATGCAGTGACTGTTGCAATCTTAAAGTTCTTGGGCTGTAACTGAAATCTAAGCCTGTCCTGTGGTACCTGGGTTTACCAGATTACTGGCAATAAAATAGATAACAGAGATAATAACCCAATTACAATGTTATAGTCCAACTAATTCCTGGGAAAAGAGCACGCTTGGTTGTATCTTGCAAGTTTTGTGACAAATAAAGGTTTTTTTCAATGGTATCTCTGTAGTCTATGATAGACAAGTGTCATTGTTTTGTCCTGTTTCTCAACTGGATGGTGCCTTTCTAAACTTGAAAAGTGTTTCTTAAGTGTTAAAGAGAAAACAGTTGGACTGTGGTGATTTTAGTACTATTTCCATGTTGACTATCTGTGAAAATAGTAGTATGATACGAGAAATGATAATGCCATTTTAATGCTGTTAATTAAACAGATTTTTAGGAGCAGAAAGTGTGGACAAACTCAAATAATTATTTAAACGTTCTTTGTGTTCTTGTATCTTTCTGACCACAGGGATCAAGAGCACAGGAACCAATTCTAGTTTCTGCTAAAACAATGTTGGAGAGCTCGTCTTTATTGATCAAAACTGCTCGTTCTCTGGCTATCAATCCAAAAGACCCTCCTACATGGTCTGTACTAGCTGGGCATTCCCATACTGTCTCAGATTCTATCAAGAGTCTTATCACCTCTATCAGGTGTGTATTTTGTAGTAACTTTTTTGTGTCCACATTTAAGCCATCATAATTGAGCATCTGTTCATAAAGAATAATACCGTATGGCCATTAGCACTGTGATATTTTTCAATAATGGAAATTATTTTTTCTGTCATGTACAGTATCTCCCCAGTTATGCCGGGTGTTTAATCATGATTGATGACTGCAGCACTCTGCAGCATAGGATTGTTCTTTGTATTCTGTTCTCTTTCCCATCTGATTCAGTTTAAGGTAAATGTAATAGATAATGCAGTAGAATAAAAAAAATGTAGCTAATATTACCTCCATCCAGATAATGTACCAACATTTAGTACGTGGAAAACAGTATTTTTCTTTAAGGTGGGTCAGACAATGTATAAATTTGCAATCTATTCTTTACTGTAGTGTTCTCAGTTTAGTTGCAAGAATGCTGTAGCAAGAAGTGAATATTCTTTATTTTTTGGACTAAACCTTTCTACCTCTTTCTTACTGAAAATTTTAAAATGTAGTTCTATACTTAACCTCTTAATATTGGTTAAATCAAAATGGTATGAAAACAGTGAACTAAGGAGTGTTTACAGTTTTGTTGATCTTTGATAATGATTGTACTGAAATAGCAAACTGCATGTCAGGACAAAGTAGTCAGAAACTAACCTTCATTAAAAGATACCGTGGACTGAATGTAACACCCAGTTCCTAAGGAATTGTTTTCCGAGACAGTCAATCGCACTGTACAGAAATGTGAGTATTTTTTCCTGGTGACTGTTGTGTTTTCATGTTAACCTTCATTATTGGGCCAGTCTGGCCATCCCAAAGAGGTGGAATTTGCATTTTCTTCTGAGGCAACAAATCTTTTTCTGTCTAATCATTAAGAAAGGAGCGTTATGTGTGTGTGTATGAAAGTGTACAGAGTACTCTGTACATACATCAAAATCCCGTAGGTAGAATAAGGCGAACTTTTGTCCTTGTTGCTCTCCTCCCACGTGCATTATGTATTGTCAGGTAATGAAGTATGTTTGCGTGCATTCGTGAAAGAGCCTGCCTCCTTCCCACCATGCACGGCTTACTGTCTCTGTCTTTCAGGGACAAGGCCCCAGGCCAGCGAGAATGTGATTTCTCCATTGATGGGATCAACAGATGCATCAGAGACATTGAGCAGGCCTCCCTTGCAGCTGTCAGTCAGAGTCTGGCCACCAGGGATGACATCTCAGTTGAGGTAAGGGAGATAGCACAGGAACAGACAGAGTAATGCTGAGCAGCCTCACTTACCCTGCTGCTTTTCCTTCCATTTGAGGATTTGGAGCTGAGCACTCAGCCCAATCTACCAGTGAGGGGAGAAGTATTCTTACTGGAATCATTCTAGGCAAAATCATGTACCAGCCAAAGTGTATCACTTCTGGAAAGATACCAGAATCACCAGGCAAAAGTAGGGGTGAAAGTACTTATTTTTAACTACCACCCACATATTACTCTGACTTCCTGTGCTGACATGACTGACTGATAGTGTTTCTCTGGTGCCTTGCCATGTGGAAGTTGGGATGTTTCTGAAACTAATCTATTACTAGAAGTCTGGTGATGTAAATGTCTGTGTCATTTTTCTTAATGCCTGTTTTGTCATTAAATAAGTGAAATCTGGAGTTGATGTTGATATATTCTCATTAAAAAAGCTTCCTTGCCCCCGCCGCCCCATGATAATGTAGAGCGATCCTGTGCTATTTCAGCCTTTACCTAATTGAGGAAGGGCCGTCATGCCAGACTGCCTACGAAAAGTCAGCAACTCATGATCAGATTCTCAGCTTGGTATTTAGTGTCCTTTTGTACTATTGCTTCCTGAAATTACATGTCTGTTTGTGCATTCCAGTGGTTTCTTTGGGCTGTAACACCGCGTACTAGAAACGTCTCAGACTGAATGAAGCTGTACAAAAGTTGTTATTACAGGAAATATGTCATAGCATAGATATAATTCTGTAATTTCTATGTAAATAATGACATCATCTTGGATGCCATGTCAAACTGAAATAGATGTTACTGAAAATCGCAGTTATTTATAAAGTAGTACAGGAATGTAACGAAGTGCAAAAATAGTATTTGTTTTCTCTTGCCTTTCATGAGGGTGAGCAAAATCCCAGTGGCTGGCAAAACACTAAGTGGCTCTAAATTAAAAGCCAGTATTTATGTCTTGGCAAGCCCAGTAACTTGCTTTTCTTATACTCCTGTCCCCGAGGTGGTATTCAGGAAGTCAGTCCACACCTCTGTCCCTCAGAGATGTCATATTTCCCTTTGTCTTTCCTTATAGGTGAATTTCTCCTGCTAGCTTCAAAGTCTACAGCAGACCTTTTTGCTCTTGTGTGGTATTGTCTACTTTGAAGAATGTTTTTTCATATTTAAATCGGAGCTCCTGCTGGTTTCTCTGATCAGTGCAGCGATACGAAATCTTTCATAGGGCAAGAATAGTTGTGGGGTCAGGGCAGGGGTGTCACATTGCAATGAGAAAGGTCACCTACTCCCAAGTTGCATTAGGAGGGAGCCATCTTCCCCCCTCTCTCCCCAGACTTGCCATATAAATCTAAAGAGAAGCAGGCCTATCTCAGGGTTCTTGTTGAGACAGGGTAAAGGAGAAGAAATGAGCAAGTACATAAAGAAAGCTGACAGCATGGATTTGTGTGTCCTCCTGTAGTGGGTCATTTGAACAGCATTCTGAGTATGTTGTTCGGTCTGAGGGTGATTGTTACGGTATGGTACAACTTGATAAAAGAACAGCTGTGATAGTAACTGACAATTTCTCTTTATATCAGGCTCTACAGGAGCAGCTGACCTCGGTCGTCCAGGAAATTGGCCACCTCATTGATCCCATAGCTACTGCAGCTCGGGGAGAGGCAGCTCAGCTTGGGCACAAGGTACTGTCCTACCATTACGAAGGTATTTGAAATCTTGGACAGCTGGACATTAGGGGAGACCATGATTTAGTAGCTTTTTCACTTCCTGTGAAAGAGCAGAAGAAAGCATGTGGAAGGAGGGAAGATCTGGGATTTCCAAATACTTGGAGCTGACACCAAATAAACCTGTTTATGCTTTAGGCCATTGGAAAGATATTTTCATTGAGGTTTTTGGTGAGGGGCAGGTTCACAGAGAAAGAACAAACAAACAAAGGGGAGGGAAAAGCAAAGATGGAAGGGCGGAACACAACGTTATAGGTCTCCCTACCTCTGGCTGTTGCAGGCAGCAGCTGTACAGATGTGTAGGTTCTTTTGTCTCTTCTACTGTGTTTAAAGGTGACTGCGGGACCTGGGGCCCATCACACTCAGGCTTGTTCAGCAAGTCACAGAGTTATAGTTCAAATATGTATATACAGCAGAATTTGGCCAGTTGATGAAGTCTGGCAAAGGTCTGTCAGATCCTATTCTGATCTGAGGTCTTTGCATAAAGCACACTACTCCATTTCTTGGCCAGCTCATGATGAAGCAAGGAGCAAAGTGTGGGATATGCACAGAGGTTACCTCTGGCCTGTGGAGGCACATCTCCTGAAGTGGGTTCTTGTAGCCTGAGGAGAGGGAGGTTTAGACTCTGGTTTCAAAGGGGGAGTGTGATGTGCCTGCTTTCCACCTTCTGAGGGAGGCACTCTGTCTCCATTGATTATAGAGGGAGTGTTAGCTTTATTAGGAAAAAATTAGTGATTTTGAACTAACCTGAGTTTCAGCCCCCGCTGCAAAATTTTTAGGGGTTGGGGGGAAGAAAGGCTTATAACAATCTTGCATTCTCTTGTAAGCATTGTGTCAACATGTCCCTCTGTTATGTGGAGTGTAAGTGTGGTGGAACTTGTGCTCATTAGATCTCTGTCCGAAAATGAAACATTACAACGGGTGTACCAGAAGTGTGCATTATTTATTGTGTTTATTACAAGTTTTTAGTAGTTTCTCACAGAGTAATTCCTCATCCTACAATATATTCTTGAGAGGAAAATAAATACGAGTTTTCTGTGTCAGCGTACTTAATACTGGAAAGGAATCACTTTGTTAGTGTGAGCGCTCTTCCAGAGTTGTACCTGAATAACTCCGTTTAGCTTTGGATAACTATCAAATATTTCATAATGTCTCAACTATTTGCAGTTTTGATTCTCAGTCTACCTAGCCCTTTGAGGCACACAACTAGTCAGGATGGCAAAGATACAGGTAGTTAAGGAGTTGCATTCCTCATCCCGCTTGTTAAGTAAATGTTGACCAAAGTCAACAGCATTTTTCTTGAGCCTGTTTTTCCTG